ATGCAGCCTATGAGGTTTGCAATCCCCAGAACTCTCTGGAAAGATGACCCTGAAATTTGAAATTTGCTTATAACTAATTTGATGTCTATTCAGTCTTTCCTTCAGTAGCTCAGGAATGCATACTCCCAATTTCTGTTCTTCCCACAACAAATATTCTAGGGTGGGGATAATTGAAAAAAACCAACTGGCCCAAAGGCACATTAGGCCTCCATTGCCAAAGCAGAGATGGAATTTTCCTTGAAGAAAAATAAATCTATGGGTACTTAGAAAGCCAAAAGACATTTACAAGGAGCAAAAAAAGACCCCACACTGTCCTAAAAAGAAAAACAATTCCCCAAACACACCAGAAAGTTTGGCTCTATTCTTTTGTGTGACGTCATTGTGTTATTGTTGCCTTGGATGCTAAAAATAAATAACTTTCCCCATGTAATCATCTGAATTAATGCCTTTCCCATTACCAAGTAGAAACAGGCCTGATGGTCAACATTGACAGATAAATCTTCTCCTGAAAGCAATTGTTTTGCTGTACACCTCCCAGAGCCACTTGTTTGTGAGATGAGCAGCTATATAAATTAGATAAACAAATTGTTCAGCATCCTAAAACCATAGGGTATCTTGGTTTCCATTTGGTAATGTCCAAGGACCTTCCTTCCTGCCTCACTACTAGCCCTCAAGTCTGCTTGGTATAGAATGACATGGCCATTGGGATGTCTCTGGGGCTGGACAGGGCCATGTAGAAGGAGGAGGTCATGTAGAGCAGAGATCTCCAAACTTGGCAACTTTAAGACTTGTGGACTTCAACTCCCAGAATTCTCCAGCCAGCATAGCAATTCTGGGAGTTGAAGTACACAAGTCTTAACGTTGCCAAGTTTGGGGACCCCTGATTTAGAGTCAGACCTACCTCATGAAATAGCCTAAATTATTTCCTGTCAATCTTCAGTGTTTTGTTTGTTCGTTTAAACTAGAACAAAAAGGCATGGACATTTTTGCCATTCTCACCGTTTTTGCTCTGTTGGGTGAAAACCTAGTGGGTATTTGTTGAACTTCCATCGTTAGACCACACGGCCTATCTTGAAGACCTCTCTGCCTGTTAGATAAATGAAAATGAAGGACGGCTAAATACACTGCCAATCTGATCTCTGTCTCACAGATCATGATATGCCCAAGCACAGCCAAATATTACCTAACAAAACAAGCATATCTAGAAATTTGGATTCCTGCCAAAATGTCTGTTTAGCACGATCAATAGGAACAAATCAGAGCAAGTGTGCTGTTTCATGCTGAACCCCTCCAATAGTTAATACAGAAAGAAGGGAAATTCTGTGTTTCCCAAGGTAGCTGGAAAATAATATCATTCAGTATCTAGGAATCTCAGAAGATAATCAGTTTGAGAAGGAAGAAATGCCTTATGGTATAAAGTCAAGTCTGAAAACCTTTTTCTCTAATCAAGAACTGGAGCTTCCTCAGAAGAAAACAAAATTTAAAAGCAAACAAAAGGATCATTCTTTTTCACCAGCGAAACTTGGCAGACTATGTAGTATATACTTTTGATCAATTTATAGGATCATATGATGCATTTTAGTTATTTGAAAAATTATCAGTTGCCAAAAATGCAGAGTGATAATCAGCTAAAAAAATATTTTGACGCTAGATACAGTAATTGCTCCCAATCCCTAGTCCCTCAGAAACTCCTCTAGAAAGCATTTCATATTTTTCATAAAATAATAAATCTATAATGACTGTTTATAAGTAGTTACTAGAACGTACTATACTCAACGTCCATGGAAAGAAGGCATTAAAAATATCATGATTTCAGAGAAACATGATTTAACAACTGTTATATTTCTGTTTTATGCTTCTCTTTTTTTATTTTTACACATCAAAATAGTTGGAGGAGGGGGAAAAAAAGACCTGATCTGTATTAACCTTCGCTTAAATAAAATGAAGATAGATCTTAACATCTTCTGCAGGGTATTGTGGATAAGAACATCTGGGGGCAGAAGGATCATGGCCTTGCCCTTTTGTATGTGTGACATGTGTTGACACGAGTTGAATTGTTAACTCAATTTTGTGTTTGCATAGCAAACGTAGCCGTAAATCTACACAGGCTAGGTTCACATAATACACTAGGCTAAAATGGGATTAGCTAATTTAAAGTTTTATACAAATCCAACCCACTGAAAATGGGCCTAAAGTGTTGTCCTCACAATCCAGCACTTCTAGATCCTATATCAAAGAGCCAGGGCAACAGCAATACTGCTGTCTTCAAGGTTGACTCAGCCTTCCATCCTTCTGAGATGGGTAAAATGAGGACCCAAATCATTGGGGGAAATATGCTGACTCTGTAAATCGCTTAGACAGGGCTGTAAAAGCACTGTGAAGTAGTATATAAGTCTAAGTGTGATTGCTATTGCTACTGTTCTGGCAGTGAGGAATGCACGATGATCATGCCTGACAAACTTAATGCCACTCTTCGAAATGTTATTTTCTTTTATAAAGAGAGAAGATATGAACATCAAATAGATAAATAGGAACCTCAATTGGCTTTATGCAGAGTTCACACAGAACAGTCGTCCTGGGGAAAGAGACAGATAACTGAACTGGCTTTCTTAATAACCTGGGGATTTCATCACCCTTACCCCAGGGCCACAGTGATAGGCTTTCTGCATGATTCTGAGATCCCTAGATCTTCCATCAATCCTAGAAACAGATTTTGCGTGCTTCCACTTTTCATTTGAGCACCTCCAACTCATAATTCCAAACCGTGCTGTTTATGCACTTGTCTGAACATTCTGAAAAGTGTTCTTTTCAAAATGCCTACTTCTGTGGATATTCTGGGAATATTTAAGAAAGTTTTTTTAATTACTGATTTAAATAGAGGTTTTTGGAAAAAGATTGGGTTATAAATGGATGCTCCTTTTTGAAAATAATTTTATTTGCAGTGGTTAAATTATTTTATGGTTGGTGTCCTTTTAACATGTTCTGTTCTTTGAAAAGTTTTAGGGTTTTATGTTTGCTTTACTTATTGCTTCCTTCAGTGATTTCTTTTCATCCAACTGGATGGCCAAGATAGCTACCAAAAACAAAGAGAAAAGTAAAATATTTCCATTTATTCCAAAACTATTAAGAAGTCCTAGTTGATGCAGCAGGTCTTTTTTTTTTTTTCCTCAAGGGATGGAGTGGATATGTGGAGATATAATGGAATGTGACCTTGGGATACGGTTGGGAAAGAGTTGTTGCCAAGGGTGTGGTCATATAAGAGAGGGCATAGCCTGCAGATGCATAATGGGCAAAGAAAGAGACTTAGAAGAAGCCCTCCTTATCTTCTCAGGCTGTAAAGAACACATGGAAGATTTGAACTTTCAGAGTTGCAAGACTGATGACGGCCTTCCTAGGTAGACCAGAAAAGAAACATGACCAGAAGAACTAATTTTACTTTATTGTAAGGCTACATTCACAGAATCTTGCAAGTAGTTTTTTAACTGCAATACTTTCCAACAAATATTTTTCCAACAAAAAAAATGGTTTTTCAATTGCAATGTTTTCCCAGCAAATGTTTATTTGCGAGAACATTTGTTAATGTTAATATATAACTGACAATGATGAGCTTTTTAAATTTTACCACAAAAACCATAGATTTGAAAAGCCTGGATTGAAGTTGAAGCTGGGATCAGAAAATAAATTATATAATGTAAATCAAGCCTTTTGAGTCTGTCAGTGGACGAGGGAAGAAAGAATCAGACAAAATAGCAGAATAACCTAGTTGGAAGGGACCTTGGAGATCTTCTAGTCCAATCCCCTGCTCAAGCAGGAGACCCTGGCCTATACCATTCCAGACAAGTGGTTGTCCAGGCTCTTCTTAAAAGCCTCCAAGGAAATCAGTTGTGGAGCACCCACAACTTCTAAAGGCAAGCTGTTCCACTGGTTAATTGTTTTCACCATTAGGAGATTTCTCCTCAGTTGTAGGTTGGTTTTCTCCTTGATTAGTTTCTATCCATTGTTTCTTGTCTTGCCCTCTGGTGCTTTGGAAAATTCTTTTAAAAAAAAATCCTTCCCTTTTTTTGACAGCCCTTCAAATACTGCAACACTGCTACCATGTCATCCATAGCCCTTCTTTTCACTAGACTAGGCATACCCAATTCCTGTACAAGGAAGACAGGGTGCAAGTTTACAATTCCAAAAAAAGCACAAATGTCTTCTGCTGTGGGTCATAATAAAAAATATTAATTCAAAGATACTTAACAAGTATCTGGGATCATGCTATTCTCAAAAAAAAAATGTTTTATTTGTGTTATGTTTTGTGAAAACCCAAATAAAATTTATATTAAAAAAAAGATACTTAACAAGTGAGGCAATATTTGATTTTAAGGTATGTGTGACATGTCCTTCTTTTGCCACCCATCTTGTAATCCCAAAGATAAGCGGCCTTGGAAGCCAGTGCTTTGTTCCTGGGAAAAGAGTCCCAGAAGGTGTTGGCTACTCTAAAATGTCCTTCCATGGGGAGAAAAGAAACCCTCCAATAACTAGGAGGAGCCGAAATCTATGGCAGTGACTCATATAATGAGAGCCAAGGTAAAAGGAGGCATTCCAATCATGATTGATTGTACCCAGAGCCTCACTGTTTCCTGAAACAGAGCACAGCTACCCTACATGAGCATAATCAATCTTCCCATCATTTGAGGCAATATAGTAGGTAGGATTTTTTTTTTTTAAAAAAGACAATGCTAGCAGCAGCAACAATCACAAAAGGAAAAGAACCACGAGTTTGTCTAAACGTCCCCCCACCTCCCTCAGACTTTGTTCTGCTTACTATAATTCTGTATTGATTTTGGACCAAATCCCATTAAATTCACTTCGACTTATATCGGAATAGATATTCAAAGGATTGTTCTGCTAAAAAGGCTGAGAAGTAAATCTAAACATTCAGAAAATTTCCCAGTTAGTTAACTTTTCAGAAAGTTAAGTCTAAGGAGATGCAGATAGTGATTTTATTGTGGAACTGCTCCCCCCACAAAAAAAAGCCTCCTCCCAAACCCAAACCACATTCCAGAAAAATCCCTAGTTTCTTGGGACATGAGAGTCCACTGAGCTATCTTCAAAAATAGGAAACCAGATCTCATCCATCATTCACGTGTGTTTTGCACTTTGCATTGTGGTGAATTAAGTCACTTTCATAGCACGTTTCTGCATCCATTTCAAAGTAGCCTGTGACCTATGTCTCCCCATAATATTTAGCAGTGTCTGAGACCTGAAGCTATTTATCTCTAGCTTAGCTGTGATGCACTTGAAGTACATCTAAAATTAGGAGGGGTACTTTGTGATTTATGGTTTTGATGATTAGACAGGATAGATTATAGAAAGAAGAGTAATATGATGTAACTTGAGAGAGAGAGAGAGAGTTTAAGATATATTTGTACTTACAAGTGCTCACAAGTGAAGAATATCAGAAGCTACTTCTTTTTCTTCCTTTCTTTTCTCTTTTTCTTCAACTATCTTTCACCTTTTGCTTTCTTTATTTCTTTTTTTCTTCCTTACTTTAGATTAGTCTGTGTTCGTTTTTATTATTATTTTTGTTTACAAAAAAATTGTTTTGTTGTAATAAAAATTAGATACCAAAAAAAAAGCGAGGAGCAGTGTTCCCTGGCTCTCTCCAGCACTGATTTTTGCCTCTTGTCTTCAACATGTTATGTTGGGCTTAAGTTAAAGAAAGCTTTAACAGATGTCCTTAGACTGCTTCTCCAGGTCTGAGGAACAAAAGCAATGGGAAGAAAGGGGAAGGGATATGTGGTCCTTTATAGAAGCAGCACCTACACAATTACCTTTTAACAGATTTCAGCTCACAAAGAAGAATGATACTTGTGATGCTTTATTTAGCAATAAATATGAATTTATTGGGTCACTGCAGAGTTAGTTACATAAAGCAGTAAACGTTCCCATGTAAAAGACATGTTGGAATTTGTGGAATGCTAACTCAAGTATACGGGGCACTATAATAATACCTGTAAGAAACAAAGGGAATCATTCTGTACTCTGCCTTTTATTTTTAATAAAACCTTCACCCACACAGCTATACTCATTGCAACCTGTCCCAAGGTGGGTATGTGCCTGGGTCGTTAGCCACTTCTGCTTTACAGGAACTGAAGCCATGTTGCTTCTGGCAGCTTCTTTCCCTGGAGGTCCCATTGCAGATTGCAGGCTTTGCTCTGTAACAGTTGTTGTATAAAATAAAATATCATTGCCATCAGGCTCTGTCATATACAGGAACGAGCTGGAAGAAGGCACTTAGTAACAAGCGAAGCAATAAGTCTAACTGCATTTCTGATGGATAAATGCCTGAATATATATCTGAAGAGAATTGGGACCAGGGTGTCTATTGGATCAATGGACAATTAAGATTGAAGGGAAGTCCTGTTGGATGTAACACATTTGCCAGGTATTGGCTATGCCTCTTAAGTCCACACATATTAAAGTTTGAGAAGCGCTGCAATGTGGCAACCTTAGGAAAGCTGGTCTCCCATATGAGCCCCTTTTCATGATGCAATTTAGGTCTGTGCAGTTGATTGGTACTGAAGTGAGCTTCCCTACCCGTCTGCTGAAGATGTATCATCCACTGAACCCTGGGCATGAAATCAGCTATTTATTGATTTGCTAAATTTATGTAGTGCCTTTCTCACTTAGGTGACACCGGAAAACACCCAATAAACTAAGCAATAAGAACAAAACTTAACTATTAAAACAATTGATGCAATATAAATAAGATCACTGGAGAAAGCACCATTAACTCACATACAATGCAACCATCTCATGGGTTCCTCGTTACCATGTGATTCCCAAGCCTGCTGGGAAAAATATATTTGAAGGAATTTCTGGAAGGCCAAAAAGGTTGGAACTTATCTCACCTGAAAGTGTTTGTGTGGTGATAGTGGTGGGGAAGATGATATTCCAGTGGGAGGGTCCTATGGCAAAAACTCATTACCTGAATCTTGTCAAATGGAAATCTTTGGTAGATGTTACCCATAAGATAACCTTCCTGCTGGATCTTGTAATGGAATGTATGGATGACCTTGAGGAAAGAGGGGAAGAGATGCCACCTAGGAAACAATTAGACAAGATACAGATGCAGATAATCAGAGTTGGAAGGGACCTTGCAGGTCATCTAGTCCAACTCCCTGACCCTACACCATTTCTGACAAATGGCAGTCCAGTCTCTTCTTGAAAGCCTCCAGTGATGAAGCTCCCACAATTTCTGAGGGCAAGCTGTTCCACTGGTTGATTGTTCTCACTGTCAGAATATTTCTAAATTTCCAGTTTGAATCTCTCCTTGTTTAGTTTCCATCCATTATTTCTTGTCTGGCCTTCAGGTGCCTTGGAAAATAGCTTGACCCCTTCCTACCCTGAGGATAGTCAGAGAAAGAAACTTAGGAAGGACCCACCCTAATGGATCAAGCAATTAAAAGTCGCAATGTGAAGTTTGTACAGACTTGCAATATTTTCTTCATGTAGCCTTACAATAAAGTAGAATTAGCTCATCTCGCTATACATCCTGTTTGATTTACCTGGGAGAGCTGACACACCTGATGGCTACAGGTAGAGGTAACCAAGGAGGGGTCCTCTTTTAAATAAAGTCACGCTGCTGCATCATTCATTGTGCCTTTGCTGTTATTGCCAAAGTCCTTGTTTTATATTTCAGCAAACATAAAGGGGTTTCATTGGTGTGTTTTACTATATGGCCCTTTGGGATATATATATTTTAATGGAAAATCCGATTCTAATCCAGCACCTTAATTGCTACCCTACATAATGGCTATATTAAGTGTTCATGCATTTTGGAAAAAAAAAAATCTATTCACAGAAACGGGGGGGGGGGACGATGACGGGGGGACTTCCTGGAAAAATAAAAAAAGAATGGCACACCCGAGATGTATGCATTACAAAAAGAAAGTCTTACAAAAGTTCATGAGAATATTTTAATAAGTATTAAATTAAGGACTTGAGCAAAAATGAACTTGACAGGGTCATCCATCCCTAGCAGAGAGAAAGATTTATTTGGCACTCTGACATCAAAACACTTGGCAGAGCACTGGGTATCTTCCTACTCCCTGTCCTGTAAGTAATCCAAGTACAATAAAACAATAGTCAATCTGGTTGCAGATTTCGGTTGATGTAAAACAGGGAATGGATTTCAGGAGCATCATTTAGGAAAGCGAGTGGGGAGCCCTAGCTGAGATTATGTTTCATGCCATCTGGGATTCGTTTGGTAGGAAGAACGTCTTACAGCAACTTTGCTGAGGCTAAGCAAGAGTATCTTTGAGAGACACCTGGGTGAAAAGCAGACTCTGACTTCCATGGAATAATAAAGACAGAATATGAAAGATAAGTCTTTTAAAAAAGAACCCTTAACACAAAATGCCCATAGTGGTTACAGCTAATTGATTGTGCTCTTGCCTTTATGGGAGCCCCGTTGAAAACAGAATTGCTGTTTCTTACACAAACAAGGATCTCGACAGATTTGAACACTGGGCCCTATCTAACAAATTGAAATTCAATGCAGAGAAAAGTAAGGATTAGGCAAGAAAAACCAAATGTACCTGTACAGATTAGGTGAAACCTGACTCAGTAGCTGTAATTATTAGAGGGATCTTGGAGTCCTAGTGGACAATCACTTAAACAAGAGCCAGAAATCTGTGGCAGCAGCCAAAAAAGCTAGTACAATTTTAGGTTGCCATAATAGAAGGACAGAATCAAGATCATTACAAAGTATTACTAAGACCATACTTAGAATAATGAATCCAGTTTTATTATATTATTATTATTATTTTATAATAATGTATTTCACCATATTATAAAAAAGATGTTGAGATTCTGAACAGAGTGCGGAAAAGAGCAACAAAGATGATTAGGGGACTGAAGGCTAAAACATATGAAAAATGGTTACAGGAAGTTGGTATGTAGGAATATGCCTACCTACATGGATGAAAATAGTGTTCCAATATTTGAGAGGCTGCCACAAAGAAGGAGTCAACCTGTTTTCCAAAGCAGCAAAAAAAGCAGGACAAGAAACAATGGATTGAAACTAATCAAAGAGAGAAGCAACCTAGAACTAAGGAGAAATTTCCTAGCATTGAAACAATTAACCAGTGGAATGGCTTGCCTTCATAAGTTGTGGGTGCTCCATCACTAATGGCTTTTAAGAAGAAACTGGACAGCCACTTGTCTGGAATGGTGTCCCACTTAAGCAGGCTAGAAGACCTGCAAGGTCCCTTCAAACCCTTTTATTCTGTTGAGGAGGTCTGTCTGGCTTCTGTTGAGTCCCTGGTTTAGCTTTTAGAAATAAAACAATACCATATTGTCCAATCACCCATACCTTTTATCAAGAAATAAATAAATAAAAACTACAGTGGACTAAAATTAAGAAATCAACCAGTTTAAAACATACAGAAAGGCAATTTCATCCATGTATATAAGGAAAATGTTAGAAAGCACTTTCTGAATGAGAACTTCACAACCCATATTGAAAGGAAATCAGAAAAAGAAATTAATCTCTCATAACTCATATAACTCTTATTGAGGTAGAATATGAGGAACAGGGTTGGTGGATTAGCCAAGGTGGATTATACCTACCATCCTGTTTTATAGAGCGGCCCAGCAGATGCCAACAGGAAGTCCACATACAGGAGAACAGAAATCCAGGCGCATCGTGCGATTCCCTTTTAGGATAAACAACATTAAGCAAACTGCTGAAAAGGGGGAAATAATTGTAAGCCAAATGAATTAAAAGCATTAAATTAAAAAAAAGAGAGAGAAAAGAAATTGCAATTAAAGCTAGTAGACAGCATATAACTCATTATATCTCTCTATATTTTTTCTCATTTTGTTTCCATCACCTATATATACCAGTTCCTGGAATATATATTGCAGCTAGATCTTTTTCATTTGTCCTATCTACGTGACCAAGCCATCTTATTGTTTCATACTAATTACTATTAATGTTTCATATTGAAACAAGCTACA